CGGACCAGGTACGTCCCCACTAGACATTGCAAAGCTTGCCCNGGGTATTTGACAACGCAAGCCCGTTTGAACTCTGCTGAAGGCAGAGAGCACGTGCTCCTCGAAAGATCTTCGGAATCGTCAGCGATGGAGAATCACACGCGTAAGGACCAATCTACTATCACACGCGTAAGGACCAATCTACTATATAAAGGGGCACACCGGATGACTATATTTGATGATGTTGCGTTTCGAACGGATTCAGTTTTCGCAAAAGCCGAAAAGCTCGTCATTCAGCATTTACACGGGGCTGTGGTCCAGGCCTGGGGGGGGTAGAGAGATTTTTTTGTATTGCCTTGGCGTATGGGGACCGCATAGTGGCGTATGGGGACTGTGACCCCAAATATGGACGCCTCCGCCCGCCACGCTGTTAGAATCCGAGTATGCTAGTATGAAGCACCAGCATAGTATAGCATGAGCATAGCCAGTATAAGGCAGACTTAGCATAGCCAGCATAGGCCAGTACGAGCGTCCCAGCATAGGGAGCATAGCATAGTCCCGAGTTAGGGTAGCATAGCCCAAAGAGCGGAATGCATATAGAAAATAGTTATATTATGGAAAAATTAAAGTGAGTCGCATATTCCAGCGATTTCATTGGTCGAGGACAGAAGATAACACGTATTCTTTGTCCGACGCCACACGCTGCGGTACCTGGAAGTATTTTTGTGAATGGGTGGCCTCGGGACGCCGCCAGGTGCCCTTCATCGCAATTTTGAAGAAAATGGTGCGTCTCGGACAAAAGATCGCTACTCTGGTTTTCATAGCGTTGACTATTTTCTATATGGTAGGCTCCCTAGGTAGCTGGCTTATCGCCACTGGCAACCCGCGACGAACAAAGCCCCCAACGTCGCGCATGGCCGATATAAGAGGAGCCAGGTACGATGGTAGCTTCAGAATTGCACCAGGGGGAGTAGCATACCCCACCACGTAACTCTCGCAGCTGCCCCTGCGAGCCTCGATAGTCGCCGTTTATCACACGCCTCCTAGGGTAGGCTTACTGTGATTGTTGTCTCGATGATCCCCGTAAAATCCCAGTGAAATCCAGCGGTCCGCAGCCGCCCCGATATTGGGACTGAGTCGGCTCAGTAGGCTCAGTATGAGCCGCCGCGACCCCGTCACGGTGCGGCGGCCCGGGAAAGGCCCCACCCGACCCCGCTTCGCACCCGCCGCCGCCCCACGGACCCTACGGGCTCCCTGGACAGAGATGGCGCCAGGCGCGGGGCGCTTAAGGGCGACTAGGGGGGGGGGGAGCGGGGGGGGGGGGGGGGGGNCGGGGAAACCCCAAAA